AAAAAAAATGTATTCAATTTTTAAAGTGCCAAACATGTACATTTAATTCCTAAATAACTAAATCTTAATGTCTAAAAGCATGCCCGGATTTACGTAATCAATTTAGGCAGAGGTTTGAAACTAGCAAAAATCTACGTGTGAATTTTAAATGATCAAAAATCGGTGTCCAGTTTTTAGATGAACAAAAATTTATATTCAGTTTATAAATAAGCAGAAAAATATGTCCAGTGCTAAAATATCCCACAATTCATGCAGAATTTTTAAATGGCCAACTTTGAAAAATTATGTCCAGTTAAATTACCAAAAAATTTTTTAATGAATAACGATTTATTTGCCAGTTTCAAGTCATCAAAAATTTGTAGCCGGTTTTAAAGGCCAAAGATTTGTTTTACAAGTTATAAATAAACAATTCCAAATTATAAAGAATTTTTGGCCAATTTTTAAACTGCATACTAAAAAATTATGTCTAGTTTTTTTAGTTACCAAGAACAAAAATTCAAGCTTTAAATTGATCCAAATCTTTGTATATTTTTTAAACAACCTAAATTAATGTTCAGTTTTGAAACGACCATATGGGATGTCCAACTTTTGAATAAACCAATTTACAAATAAAAATTTCTTCTAGACAAACAAAAAGCCTTAGCAGTTTCTAAATTATCAAGAATTTTCGGAAAATTTTTAAACTAAATACATATTAAAAAATTAAGCTTAAGTTATTAGTTAACAAAAACAAAAATTCAAGCTTTAAGTTGATCAAAATTTTTATAAATTTTCTAAATAACCAAATTTCATGTTCAGTTTTTAAACGGCCATATGTATGTGATGTCCAACTTTTAAATAAACCATAAACCATCAAATTAACAAAAAGAATGCCCCTAGTCTTTAAATTACAATGAGGTTTGTGTGGGGTTTTTAAATCATCCGAAAATTATGTCCAACCAAACAACCAAAGCATTTGTTCAATGTCAAAATGTATGCCCATTTTTCGCACAACCAAAATTTTTTAAATGTCTGGAAAAATTTATACTCAATTTTGAAAATCCAAAAATTTATGCACATATAG